TCATTATCTAACGTATTTCGTGGTAAAGGTATCTGTTCCAAAGCTATTTCAAAATCAAAATCTCATAGAAGGTCTGTGAGTCTTGATTCATCTGTGATTGTTGAATCGTCTTCAACTTTGAATGGCATTGGTTCATCTAAAACACATCATCGACCAAACATTAAGTGATTAGCGAGATTAGTGAGACTAGCGAGATTATTAAGAGTAATAACAAACAAGACCAAATGATATATTGTATTATGATAATTTGGTAGTGACTGGACATTAAATGCATCACACCATAAATATAATTTAGAAATGGTTAATTAATCATGAATTCATTGTATGAATTCTTTATGAATTCTTTTTGAATTCATTGTATTTTTGTAACAACTTTCATTTACCTAGACTACATGATTAATTTTAACCGTTCTGTATATAATTTTTTTTTTTTTTAGACCAACATACACATTCATTTTAATCATTTCACTTTTAATCATTTTATTCATTCATTTAAAATCAAATCAGATTAAATCAAATCATTTCAATCAAATCAGATCATTCAATCAATCATTTGTTCAATCATTTTGTTCAATCATTTTTATTCTTTCGTTCGTTCACTCATTTCATTCGTTTTAAACCGATTTACCAATTATTGTATAAATATTTCTCAATATATTTTTTTAAAAGAATATTTCTCATTCACATTTTTTCCATACTATAACGTTTCTTTATTTAAATATTTCTTATTTGCATCTAAAATTGTTTGGGGTAGGGTTCAGAAATTTTTTTTTTTCAAAAAAATAAAAAAAAATAAAACAAAAAAAAATAAAATAAAATAATAATTATTATTAATAATATTAAAAAATTTCAAGTGTGTGTGTGTGAAATTTCAAGTACGTACGTACGTACGTATGTGAAATGTTAAGTGTGTGACGAATTATAATTATCAATAACGATATCGATATGGTAAAACAAAATTTAATTAAATGTAACACATAACGTTAATCAAATATTATAAATGAATTCTGGGGTAACTTAACTTTATCGGTCCGAAAAAATATGATTTTACCTCGAACTATGGGTGAATTATTATTGAATATTAAAATTAGAAATTCATCAAATCCTGATAATTCTGAACCGGAAACCAGAGAATTAAGTATTCCTTCAAATATCACATGGAATAAATTAGAAAAAGAGGTTACTTGTCTGAATGATTCTACGTACTTGTCTTGTTTGAACGATTATAAATCTTAATTCTATTTTTGAAATACAATTATTTAAGGTGATATGATTCATATTTCATCAGATGGAGAACTTTCAAGTATATTGAGTATACATATACATATCGTTACAGTATTATTTTTATTAAATACAGTCAGTATTTATGTTATTATAATTATAATAGTATTAGGCCATTCCGGTGCATTCATTCTTCCAAAGACATCACAACCAGATCATGATCTTTCGGTGATTTTACGATTTTTACCTGGATGTGACAAATATTTAGGATCAATTAATAATGGATTAAAAAGTCAAGATTATAATAAATTTAACTTGAGTTTTGTTATCGAACAAGTTAAACATTTACCCGTGAGTTTTTCTTAATATCGATTATTCTAAAAAGAGAATCAATTAACTTTATTATTAACTTTATTATTAACTTTATTTGTCTTTTGTTTATCTTTTATATATCAATATTTTCTTTTTAGAAAGGAAGTGTTTCGTTGTGATTGTAAGTGCTAAGGTTCTTAAAGTAGATAAATTTAACTATGCATTACATAATGAATTCATTTACCTTCATTACATAATATATATTTAAAATATTAATAAAAATATCTATTATCGTTATCGGTCAATCTTTGTCGTATGAAACTCAACGAAAAGTATTACTACTTATTATGAACTTTAACGTTAAGTAAAAAAACCAGATTTAAGAATCGAAAAACCGAATATTTACAAAATATTTGTATTTTCTTTACCCTTTTTCGTTAATTGTATGAGTTTATCGATGGTAATAGTGATAGTATACATTCGTACGTACGTACAGTGGCTCGTACAGTAACTCGTACAGTACTATACGTACTATAAGCACTGTACGTGCGTACTTAATTTACATAACCGATAAGAATAAAACAATATAACGTAATTTCCAAAAAGTATTAAGAATATTTATTATTATTGTTAATAAAAAAATAAATCTTCCCATAAGCATATGACTGTTTCATATTTCATATACGTAGTCTGCACTTAATAGTCGACTATGTATTACCATACTTAGTATACGTATAATTTTATGTATACCCAGACCAGAAAGCTCTGTTTTATTAATAGTAACAGTAATTTAAAATACGGATTGGCCGAGAAAAAAGTATGGTTACATTAAATTATTTTAAGTTCATGCACAGTACTCGACAATTCTTGGCAAAAAAAACGTTTGCGATCAGATGACTATGCAAACTCCTTGCCTTTCATTAAACGTTTGAAACATGAAATCTAGATCATTTCGAACTGATATTACTTATTAGTTGATACTTATTACAGTATTAGTTAATACTTTTTAATTACAGAATTACTATCATACCAATAATAATAATACATAACATAAATAATTTGTATTATTTCACGCGATTCTGAATTTAACAAATATACAGGTGCGGGAAAACTTTTGTTTGACACTGTAACCCTCATATGACTTTAGGTGCTTGACTTTAGGTGCTTGAGAGTACCTATATTAATAATTCATAACTCTGTTTTTAATTAGTGAAAATATTTTGAATAGTCAAATGAGTTCATTATAGTAATGAAAAAAAAAAGATGTGTCTCGACCGTTTTTTTATTTTTATCAGTTGTGCTGATTGGCTAAAATTTAATATCCGAATCCGAATTCGAATCCGAATTTCGCACTATGAATCTTTAGCAAAATTTCCGTAAAGATTAATCTAATCGTAGTGCTTGTATACTTTCCAATTACATTGAGAGGATTGTTTTTTTTTATAAATTATTAATTACTTCTTCACGATCAGTAACAGTAACGGTAAATAAATAAATCAGTGCTTCTATGTAAATGTTTATGCAGCTAATCGTTACTTTAAAAGTATTTATCTAATTTGCGCGAGTGATACAGAAAAAGATACGTACTCGTGTATTGTACGTACGCACGTACAGTACATAGCTTATAGCAAATCAGGGAACGTTACGTACGCACGTATGTAAATAAAAAAAAATAACGACGGTTGAATCTGCTTGTAACACTAATTAAAAATGACAGAAATGACATTTTACATTTAGAAACTCGTTATTATCAATCCCTCACGTTCTAACTAAAACAATCTTAGGTTAAATTTTTGTATCACGTCTAAAGTGAGAATAAAATCACGTGCCTGATGAATTT